GTTGGTTTTTATAAATTTCCAGCTAACCCCCAGAGGAGGCCTTAGGTCTCCTGTTTTTTCTGCCCCTTGTCTGCTCTGTGATACTCTAGGCGTGGCCAGCAGGATAAACCCCACATTTGCCGCATGCTGGGCCCTCAAAGCCTGGGGAGGGCCCCTGCTAGCTGGCTCCCTGGGCCTTTCCAGGGAGACTGCAAGTTGCCAGTAGGTGAGCTGGCATCTGGGCTCAGGCCTGAGAGCAGACTCTACTAGGACGCCCCCACTCATCTTTGTACCCTGAGACCGCCTGGGAACCCAGACACTGGCCCAGCTCCTCAGGCATGACTGTTTTAAACTCCCCTGGGGCTTGGGGTGACAGGAACACCTCCCTTCCTGCCCTCCCTGCTCTCTAGGCACTGCCCCTGGGGCCACAGGCTCCCCTGAGGGACTCCTGAAAAGTGTTTACTGAGACTCAAGTAACCCTCCCCTTCGGTCCCCTTAGAAGACTTCATCTCCACTCTGGTGCTTTCATACTTAAGTAGGACTCGTGGCCTGGGGGCTGAGTGCTGTGCTAACAGCATGGGATTTGACACGTGTGTCCAGATCGGGCTGAGAGGGAGGGCAGCCCTGGCACTGCCTAATAACCATCTGTTTCTCTCGCTTGGCAGGAGGGCTTCCGAGGTAATGGGATTTATCTGGAGTACTTCCTCCCCTGCTCGGAGCATCACCAGGCAAAGGGCCTGGCCATGGAACTGCCCATCACAGCTTTCGAGGCTCAGGGGGTTCTCTGTCTTCCCCACATGAGCACCCAAGACACAGGTGAGTGTCCAACAGAAAGAGCTGGAGAGGGAGCCGACCCACAGGTTCCCACCTACCCGAGAAGGAGGAACAGCACTGCTGAGAGATCCCAGACGCAGAACAGCACAAGGTGCCGGGAAAGGAGAGAGCGAAACAACCCGTGTGTGTGTGCGCGTGTGTGTGTGTGTATGTGTGTGTGTGTGTGTGTGTGTGTGTGTGTACATGTTGGAGTTCCATTCATGTAAGAAATAAGGAGAAAAAGAAAGCATATGAGTTATCTGTTCATTTGTGCAGAAAAAGAAACTCAGGAAAGAGATAACATAAATAAATGAGGTTGGTAATCTATAGGGGATAGTGGGAATTGGGTGGCAAGTTGGGGGAGTGGGAACAGGGTGTCAGGCAGGGGGGACCCCTCTCTGAGTGCCCCCTTTGTATGGTCCCCACTTTAGAACCAAGTTAGTGTCTCACATAAGTCAATCAGTAAAGATGAAGGAAGAACCCCAAAGAAATACAAACAGAAACCAATGAACCTGACTGTATTACAAATGAATAACATGGAAGGGGGTGGGATGGGTAAGAAAAGAACTAGCCTAAATAATTTTGGAAGACAGGAATCTGTTGCTGTAACAAAATACCGTAGACCTGGGCAGCTCACACAACAGACTTTATTGCTTCCAGTTCTAGAGGCTGGACGTCGGAGGTGGAGGTGCGAGCAGCTGGCTTCTGGGTGAGTTCCTGGCTTCAGATGGCCCCCTTCCCGTGTGTTCACATGGGGGACAGAGCTCTGGCGGCTTCTCTTATTAGGGCACTGATCCCGTCACGAGGGCCCTGCTCTCGTGGCCTCACCTAACCCTCATCACCTCCTAACGGCCTATCTCCTACTACGGTTGGGGAGTTAGGGTGTCAACATAGGAATTTGGGGCCGGGGGCACAGACATTTGCTCCACAACATACTCTGAGGCTGAAGGTGAAGGAGGCCAGATCCAACCTGAAGGGCTTTCCAATGGCCCAATCTGTGACAATTTGAACATAGTAAATAATTATAATGGATTATAGCCCACAGGATAAAGGAAGAATCCAGCACTTGGTGCAGTGTGTTGTTAAGTGGCAGGCAGCAAAGGCACACTTGAACAAACGTTTGGTGAATGCCTTTTGGACAGGGTTGTTTAGATTTTAGACAGCCAGTAAATATTGGCCTTCTGCTCAGAAATCTGGATCTGCCTTTCATTTTCTGCGGGTGGAAATTCCATCCTTGGGTTGCACAATTTACTAGCCTGACTTTGAAGTTTCAAGAAGGTATTTCTGGACTGTGTGCGTCTCCTTCCTGTCTCTTCCTTCCCATCTTCTGAGCCGTGGAAAGGACATGGGATATGGCCCCGGGCACCTTTCAGGACACACTCTCCCAACCTCCTCAGAAGGAAGGGATAAACAACAGCTTAATTTTTTAGTTGTAATAATCAATGGCCAGATTTCATCACCCAATCAATAGTCAATATTTGAAGAATTCAGTGTATGGGTATTAGAATGACAGTGTCGGCTTTGGAGTGTGGCATATTCATGCCGGGGGATCGGCAACTGCTTGCAATACGAACGTGTTTTCATGATTGGGTCTTGCAGATTCACTCTGGGACTGGGCTGTTCTCACAGCGACCTTGCAGAGAGCGGCTGGCTGAGGCCACACTGTGGGTCCCTGGGGCAGGGCAGCATTTTGGTCACTTTCACGCCGCCACTGCCCAGACCCAGAGTCTCAGAGCTTGAGTTGATCCTGTCTACCTTCTCGACACTCATGTCTGTAAGCCCCTTTCCCAGTAGGAACTCAATACATCAAAACCAGGAAAAATCTGACCCTTTTCCTCTCCTTCCTCAACTTCCTCAACTCCACTCTTGCCATCGGCATAAACCCAACACCCTGGGATGACTCCCTTGCTGCACTGCCCCTGTGGGTGGGTTCCCTCCTCCCCCTGCCCAAGTGGCTTCTTGTTCTAGCCTGCCAACCCACAGGGATGTACTTCTCACCCTGTGGAGCTCGGAGATCCCATACTGGGCAACCGTCCCGCAGGGCTTGGGCTCTGATTGTCCCCTCTGGGCCAGCCCTTCTTCCTGCCTCTCCCACCCCTGCCCTGTCACCACCGGGCTCCCTAATGGCTTGAGGAGGGGACTGTGAGAAGGGAAGGGTTGGAAGAAGGAGGAGGTACAGGGCTTTCTGGTCACTGCGGGTCTCGTCTTCATTTCTCACTTTCATCTCTTATTTTTTTCATAGATTTTCTTTTCTGATCATTCTAGTGTCTGAGGTCCTTGGGAGGTCAATCTCTAGTTTGTATTTTTCTGATTCTCATAATTGGTTTCTTCCCTTGTGTGTTGTGATCACTGATTGTAAGTTCCTAGTTGGGTGATCTGAAATTGTGAAAAACATGGGAGCATCATTTGAGGAAGTCCTTCCAGAACCTCTGGCTTAATCTGGGAGCCCCATGTTCATCTTCTCCCCTGAACAGGGGCCCCAAAATCTATTTCCTATTAGCAGTGCTAATAGGGGTACCTTTCCTCAGGGAATCCCTGCCCTTCTTGTATGCTCACTCCTTACTGCTCAGGGTGTTTTTTTTTTTTTTTAAGATTTTATTGGGGAATTGGGGAAGGGGACCAGCCAAGTTGTTGTTCTTCAGTCTTCCTTGTGGAGCGCGCCAGTCGCCATCTGGCTTCCCATCAGCAGCTCGTGGCCTCTAAGCTCAAGGTGCTGTGTTCAGTCTTAGTTGCCGGTGGGCGTAGCCACCATCCCATGTGGGAGTCGAACCAGCAGCCTTGTTGTTAAGAGAGCACTCTCTATCCACTGAGCCATCCGGGCGGCAGCTCAGCTTAAGGTGCCGAGTTCAGTCTTAGTTGCACCGTCCCATATAGGAGTTGAACCAGAAACCTTGTTGTTAGGAGCACATGCTCTCACCAGCTGAGCCATCCTGCCACCTGTTGGCAGCTCAGCAACAGCTCAGCTTGGGTGCAGCATTACTGGCCCATGTAGGAATCGAACTGGTGGCCCTGTTGCTCAGAGCTTGCCCTCTTAAGCCAACTCTTAACCTACTGAGCCACTTGGCCAGCCCCGTTTTTTTTTTCCCTTTCCTTCCTTCCTTCCTCCGAGATTTAATTTCTAAAGCCTAGCAATATGATAAATGTTTCCTGCATAATCTGTTCTGTAGTGGGGGGAGGGGCCCTAGAATTTCCTGTCTATCACAGTGGCAGAACAGGAAGGCTCCTGAATTCACTTTTAGCTATAAAAAAGTGAAGCTTTTAAAATTTTCGGTAGGTTTGTATGAAATGTAAGTGCTCACTAGGAGGTCTTCTTAGGTCTAACCATTTACGCTCATGTAATGTCACACTTGGCAACAACTTCATTTAGGTAGAGAACCCCACGATGCTAGCAGGGCAGCAACAGGTGACCCCCGCTGCAGTCCATACAGCTGTGCATGAGCTCTCCACATGAGCTGCTCTGTGGCACCCCAAATGCAACTCAGGTGCAAGATGAGGGTATGTGAGGTTCTCTGGCTTAGAAGCCTTTCACTCATGGGAACCAGCATCTCTCATAAAAGGTACCCACACTCAGTTAAAAGAGAGCCTGAAGGCACGCATGGCCTCCTGACATGGTTAAAGGCTATTTGGTCCCCTCAAGCCAGAAGCAGTATACCAGTTGGAGGGATTTTGGACACAAGCAATGTTGTTGTACAGCACAGTTGACATTCTACCTTCATCAGGTTTCTAGAATAAAATAGAAAGATAACCCAAAGTGATATTTGTCAGAAGAAAAATGGGTTTGTTAAATCTTTGCCCACAGTAATTGATCAAGGTCTTCACCTATTTGGTGTCCATGCTCAAGTTTTTCCAATGGGTGTTGGGTCAGAAATATTTAGGCTCTTGTCCCAGAGAAATTCAGTTTTAGGTGGTTTAGATAGATGTCTGAGATAGATGTCTTTCCTCAAGTATAACATGGCTACAAAGTATCTATGAAATTGTTTCATCCTTGTGAATCTTTTTAAGTATCCTTCTCATTATCACCCATCAAACCACCCTGAAAAACATCTCAGGAATCCCATCCCAACAGTTCAGAATCTAATGAAAGGTGACTTGGGGGTGCAGACTTTAAATCTGGACGTGTTACTGTGCTGTCTGATGGAGACGTACTATTCGAGGCTGCTTGCCAAGCTTATTACTTACTTTCTTTGCAGTGATTACACACAGCTGGATCACAAGTTTAAAAACAATTTTTATTTTTTTAGGTGAGTATTACGTACATTAGTTATTAATGCAGGGATGTTTGTTTGTTTCCCAAACATTTTATTAGGACATATTTCACACATAAAGAAAAGTTGAGAAGTTTTACAGTAAACATTCTTTCAGCACCAAGGCTGTCCCAGTATCATTTGGTTACAGTTGTTTCATCACGTGTCCGTCTCTGCCCAACCACGAACCGGCCTCTAGCGGGGACTTTTGTGACTGTTGCTGCAAACTGGCGTCACACCTCCAAGCTGCCCATGCTCTCTAGTGTTGTGACAGCCATCTGTTTAAAACACAAACATCACCGTGTCACTTCTGTTGTTAAAACCGTTCCGTCCTCCATATAGCTTCAAAAAAAAACCCACCCATCTGGCCAGCGCACACCTTTCCAGCACACAGGTCACATGCATCCCGGAGCCTTTGCGCAGCCTTCTCTTTCTACCAAGATGCCCCTTTCCTTTGCCCAAACCCCACAATCACTGTTATGGAACCAGCGTTTTCAGCTTGTGTGCATTTGAATACCCAATTACACTCCCCCCCCGCAAAAAAAAGGCCCCCCAAAACTGCCAACAACTCAAGATAAGCCTTGTTTGGACGCCTTATCCCCAGGAGCTCTCAGCCTTCCCTGACCTCTGTCTTGTCCCCCAGTACCCTTCCCTTTACGTCACTTATTAGTGTCTCCGTTTCTGACCTTCTCGCTGCTAAGAAATGCAATCTCTGGTTCTCATTTTACCCCCAGTGCCGAACGGAGTCTCAGGGCAGCACTAAGCGCTAGGCTCGGTGCAGCGGTGCCCGCGCACCAGACCCGGGCAGTGCGCATGCCTGGCCACGCTCGGCCCGGCCGACGGACCCGGCTCCCGGCTGTGCGCGCCCTCCCCGCCTCCGTACTTCCTGCAGTAACTCCGGCTCCGGCTCCTCGCCTCCTTGTTCAAACAGTGGAGCTGAACGCCGGCCCCATTCCAGTACCCGGGGCCTACTCACTCCCACTTCCGACGGGAGATACGCCAGCCGTAAAGCACGGCGCCAGCTGCCGCAAAGCGCTTACGACAGAGCCCGGGAGCGAACTACGGCCGGCAACCTCCGCAGCTTTAAACATTAGGGTTTCTGGAGCCGAGCTGGGCGGCCGCCTGCCCGTTTGCTTTCCGCACTCGGTCTGCGTCCGTCGGAGGCGGCTCGGAGGCGCTGCAGCCTCCGAGGGGAGGGCCCTCACCGGAGCCACCCGGCCGCCATCATCCCGGCGTGCACCGCGGCGGCGGGCGAGTCGGCGGCCATGTTGCGGTAGTTTGTTGTTTTCTTTCTGCGGAGGAGCAGGGCCGGAGTGGTCCGGCCCGGCTTCCTCGCTCTCCCCGTCCCCAGTCCTGGCCCGCCGCCCACCGGCCCCCGGCCCCGGCCGCGCTTCCCCCGGCCGGCCCGGCGGCTCCCCAGCTGGCTTGGTGGGACGAGGTTGAAGCCGGGCCCAGCGAGCACCATGGCGGCCGCCCTGGGAGCGGGCGGAGGAGCCGGCGCCGGAGGTACGTGAGGCCACCCGCGGGAGGACGAGGCCGGGCTGCGGGGGCCGGCGCGCCCGCCTGTTCCGGAGGGCCCGGCCCCCCGGCCGCCTCTCCCTCGCCCCTGTCGTCGCTGTGCCCTTGTCGCGCCGCTTCCCCCTGCACCGACCGCGGTTGTCCGTGAGCTTCGGCGGCTCCTCTTTCGAGTCTGCACAAAGCATAGGCCCCGTGTACGCGGTGGAGCGGCCTGTCCCGGAGAGGGGACAGCGCCCCCACGCCGCGAGTGCGACGTAGGCCGGGCGGGGGTGGCCGCCGGAGGTGGGTCGTCCTGACACGTTCAGGTTCATTCCAAGCCCGGCTTTGCGCCGAAAGGTTCACCTTTGCGAGGGAACACGTAGCGGTGCAGCGTTTCAGAAATTCAGAATTCTTAGAAAATTTCATCCGAACGAATTCGTCTTGTTTTTTACACGAGCTCCCTCGTTGTCTAGTAAAACTGTTAGCGTTTCGTTGTCAGCATCTTAGACGATGCAAATGGGACAAAAACGGTTTAGGTACTGAGGCAGTTCCTCTTTGGCCGAGTATAAAGGATTTTGATACAGGCACCTAACAAGTTCCAGGTAAAAATCGCTTTTGAAATCATTGTGTTGACTGAGTTTTTGTTTTTGTTTTTTCAAATGGGGAAATACTTGAAAGTGACTTTTACGGTTATTCGAAAACTTTGTTAAAGGAGGTCCCGTAGATGGCAAAGTGTGAACCACAAGAGCCATTGAGATGAGCTCGTTATTGAAACATTAAAAAAAGCCATTCTAGTGTATAGTCTACACCTACGTGTGACGCCTACGTATGACGTGTACATTGCAGTGATCCTGCTTAGGGAGTTTGGCCTCAATAGCAAAGCGTTTGTATGGCAAAAATGGAAAACACCACGGAGACCAAACGCAGAAACGTTGCTTTTGCAATATGACTGGGTGTATATGCCATTTCTGTCAGATGATTTTTTTTTTTTTTTTTTTGCGTGGTAGATCTGGGGCTTTTTAGTTGAACTTGGAAAATACATGGTTTACCTTCCACACGAGGTTACTTTGTTTTTTTGCGGATCAAAATGTTGTGTTTATTTTTACTTTTGTCATTTTCAGGTGTAGTCTGGGGACTCCTGGGTCAGAATTACATGTTTTCATTGATGATGCTAACGTTATTTGCATGTTTCACGCTCTCGCTAGCGTGCAATGGAGCTGTCCAGGACACGTGAGGACATTACACTGATGCTGATGGGATGTGTGCTTGCATAGATAGCCTTTCGAGTTTCTCATTTTTAATTTCTGAGGTAGTAAATGTCAATGAATGTAAGCCACATAAACAAGCTTTTTGGTGTCTTCAGTAAATTCGAGTCCACAAAGTTTGAAAATCGCTGTTTGAGAGGATGCAGTAGGCTTTATCCTTAATGTTTTGGAGTTTCCCTTCATTTTGTCCCAAGTGCCAGCCTCCCATTGCTCTTAGGTGAAGCCAGGCTCCTTACCCAGGTGTCAATGCTGCGTGGCACTCCTCCCCACGTGGGCTTGTGGCCTGCCTCCCTCTGCAGCTGCCCTCATTCCTGCCCAGCTGGCTCCTGGCCTGCCTGCCTTGAGCACTCGTGGTGTCTCAAGTATGCCCATCTCCTGCGCATGTGCCTCCTTCCCCTTCATTCTGTGGCCCCCTTGTTTTCTTCAGGACATTTATTGTAGTTTGTAGTGTTATTTAGTTACTTACTTAAATCCCCCTTTCCCTGTAGTCTGGAAGCCCTGTGAGGACAGGAGTGCCCCTGTCTTCCCTGCCGTGTCTTCCAAGCGCCTGGCATGTGGTGTGTGTGCAGCACGGACTTGATACATGAATGACTAAGGAATGAGATCTTTTCTTAGGACTCCGTTCACGCCCTTTTCTGTGCACATGGAGGTTGCACATTTATAGCTGTGTGGCCTCGTGCGGTGTGAATAGAAAGAACCCTTTAGTATTTTGCAGCTCACTTCGTCCTTAAGCGTGGTCCTGGGGCTCTTCCCATGTCAGGTGACAGTATGGAGCCAACATTGATTGTTTAGCCATTTTCCTATTGATGGGCATTTCAGTTATTTCTACTTTTTTTATCACTGTGGAAAGTACTGCACTAAACGTCTGTAGACACATCTTGGCATGCTTAAATATTTCTGGAGGATGGAAACCTCTAGAAGTGGAAATACTATGTTACAAGTAACATTTAACATTTTGATACCTATTGTCAAGGTGTTCTCAAAAAGGCTACTACCACTTTGTCTTCTCATCAGTAACGTGTGAGAGCACCCCATTTCCCAAAACTTTCTCATTTTTTAATATTCTTGATAATAGAAAAATAGCCTCAATTTTGTAATTTATATTCCCCCATCTCTCGTGAAATGAAGTATCTTCATAGATTGTATTTTCCTGCCTAACTATATCATTTTTTTATCTTTATTGGGTGATCTTTTTCTCATTATTTTAAAATATTCATTAACTTTTTTTTTTTAAGATTTTTATTGGGGAATTGGGGAGGGGAACAGTGTTGGGGAGGGGAACAGTGTTGGGGAAGGGGAACATTGTGTTTTTCCAGCTCCAAGTCAAGTTGTTGTCCTTCAGTCTTAGTGTGGAGGGCGCAAGCTCAGCTCTAAGTCCAGTCACCACTGTCAATGTACTTGGGGTTGCGGAGGGTGGGTCCTGGGCAGGTGGGCACAGCTCACCATCCCATACGGGTGTTGAACCTGCAACCTTGTTGCTTAGAGTATGCACTCTCACCAGCTCAGCTGCAGCTCAGCTTGGGCACAGCTCACTGGCCCATGTGGGAATCAAACCGGAGACCCTGTTGCTCAGAGCTCCCGCTCTTAACCAACTGAGCCTGAGCTGCTCGGCTGGCCCTGACCATTTAAAAAAAACGACAAAAAATTTTTTTATAGTGCTTGCCCTGTAACTTTGTTTTAAAATTTTCTCTGTATGGAAATTTTAAAATTTTACCCTGTGAAATACATCACTTGTTTTTTATAAGGTTTTTTTTTGGTAATGGTGTCTCCGTGCCAAGAGTTTCTCTATGCTTTAATACTTTATGGTCCTTTTTTTTTTTTTTTAATATTTAGCTTTTATTCCACGTGGGATTTTATTTTGGGTACAGTGTGAATTTGGGACTTCTAACAATTCTAATATGATTTATTGAATTCTCCATCTTTCTAATATATTCCCATTTCTAAGTTTTAAAAAAATTGCTTTATAGTGTATGTATATTAAACACCATGTTCTTTTTTAGAAATTTCTTGATTAGTCCTATGCATTTAAAAAAAAATGAACTTCAGAGTCTGTAGTCACATTCTGTAAAGACTGCTACTGAAATTTTTATTAGGAGTGTATTGAGTTTATTAACATAATTTGGGAATGATTGGTATTTTTACAATATGAGTTATTTCACCCAGCAACAAGGATGTCCCTGTCAAGCTCTTTTTTGTCGGCCAGTCATCTACTAAATGTTGATTAAATACCTGCTCTGTGCTGGGCACTTGTCTAAGAGAGGGGATGTGTAGTGACCAAACCACAGATTCCTGCCCCTGTGGAGCTGAGATTAGCAACATTTTCTTTATATAGTTCTTTCATTTCTTGTTAGTTTTAGTTTTATTCCTTGTTATTTTATATTTGCTCTAATTTTTTTTTTAATCCTATTACAGTCTCATATTTGTTACTGAGCTGTAGAAACGTTGGGTTTTTCTTTTTGTTTTTTTTGGTAATTGAATTATATACAACTGGCTTGTTGGACTCTTGTTTTACTAGTTTGGTGCTTTCGATTTTCTAGTCAGTCATATCTGCGATCTCTTCTAGCCCGGTAATTATATCTCATTTCTTTTTCTCCTGCTTTTTTTCTCTGGAAGTATTCATTGTCAAGCCCTCCAGTATAATGTTGAGTGGTATGGTGATGGCACGCATCCCCTTGTCACCTTTGTCTTGTCGCCATGTTCTGTATTTAATGAGTGTTCTTTTAATGTTTTGCCATTGAGTACTGTTTTTGCTGTAGGTTTGTGATAGTTATTTTTTGTTTAGCTAAGAAAGGTTGTTTTTTTTGAGTTGGGTTTTTAATTTGATCAGACGCTTCTTCTGCATCTGTTGAAGTGATCGATGAGGCCCCTTCTTTAATCTCTTAGTCTAATGTAATGTACTGATAGGTTTCCAGTGCTGAACCAGCCCTGCACTCTTGGATTCAAAACCTTCTTTTTCTAAGTTTTATTCTTTTTACTGTTTTGTTGATTTCGTTTTAGGATTCATTTGTGATCAGAAGAGAGATTGGCTTGTAGTTTTCTTCCTTTTTCTTTGTGCGTGCACATGTGCTATCCTGTTTTTATGATAGGGTGGCTTCCCAGAATGAGTTGTGAAGTTTTCTGGGACAGTGTAAAAATCTCTTTATTAAATGTTGGAAGAACTCGTATCTGCAAACTATATGGGTCTGGTGCCTCCTTAGGTTATTTTTCAGTTATTTCTGTCATTATTGGTCTACTTAGCTTTTTAAATTCTCTGGTGAATTTTGATAAATTTTTCTGGAAAAATTGTTTATGATATATATTTTCAAATTAATTAATATAAAGCTATATGCTTCAGCTTCCTAAGAATGGGTGTGTTGATGGTAAACTTTTTGAGACCCATGCGTATCTGAATAAACTTTTACTTTATTTGCATAGTTCAGTGATGATTTATTGGGTCTAGAATTCTAGATTTGAATGCATTTTCCTTAGCTTTTTGGGGGTATTGCTGTGTTGAGTTCTGGCTTCTGTGACATCCTGATTCGTTTGTATGTGACCTTCTTCCGCTACCCCCAGTGTTCTAAAACGGCATCAGTATAGGTCTGTTTGTATTTATTGTGCTGTGCGTTTGGTGGACACTTTAGTTTGGAAATATGCATCCCTCAGTTCTGGGAAGTTTTCTTAAATATTGTTTTTTTCCCTTTCATTTTCTCTGTTTTCACCTTCCGAAACACTATTTGGATTTTAATGCTTTGTTTACATCAAAAAAGAAGAATGAGATAGTTCTTTGAGATTCTCTTGGGAAGATAGGCACTTTGGTAGTTAGTTCATGGAGTTGATCAAGACGAGGACGACAGGGCCTGCGGAAGGGCACAGACCGGGCGTGGTGGGCACCCCGCTGCCAGCGCGTCGTCCCCCCCCCCCCCCCAGCCTGGCCGCCACTCCCTCTTCAGTGACCCACTTACAGACCTGGGAACTTGAGGTCTGTTGGCCAAAAGCTGTTCATGTTTAGCTGATTTAGCTGTGGCTAAAGGTGGGTCCACTGTTCTAGATCTTTCGTTAGTTTCCCCTCTTTTTTTGAGAGAAGATGGAACTCTGATACTTATATATAATTACATTTTTAAAATGTTGGCAACTAAGTTGATTTAAAAAAAAAAAAGACATAATTCACGGAGAGCGTGTGTCTTGTAGGCCACCAGATCCCAACCTGCACTTTAGAGTGATTCTGCTGCAGGTTAGCAGGTTCCATGTACGAGTGATCTTCCTACTAAACATTGAGGAAGTTAGGGTTTTCCTTTAATATTTTTACATAGGAACCAGAGGACATGTTACTACAGTTATTTCCTAAATAAATTCCAGAGCACTGTCCTTGGCAGCCCTGAGGTTAAGTCTGGTTTTGCTGTTTCCTCACTTGGGTTAGTCTTAGTTCTCATGTCTGTGAAATGAGAAAACCAGTGGGAAAATGCTGGGTTGTTGAAGTAAAATGAAGCCTGTGTTCAGTTCTTCAGGAGTGCTGGGATTTGTGTGGGGTTTTATCCGCCTTGTTTCAGCCAGGAGGACAGAAGCCCTGCTTTGCTTTCCAGTTATGAAGGATTTTACTACAGGACTCAGAGGCTCATACAGCCCTTGGAAAGGCTGGAGGTGCGGAGCTCAGGAAAACCTCTGTTCATCTCCGCCTGTTGGCAGGACCTTGCCTGGCAGCCCTCGTGACTGAGGGCTCGGGGCCGCCTCAGTCAGCTGCACTGGGGGTGCTGACCTCTGGTGGTCTTGAGACTCAAGAAGCCCCGGACTGTCCCGCTCTTACAAGCCCAGGTGCGACACAGGGTTTCCGGAGCTCACTCTGACGTCCTTCCAAGACCCTGCCATCTGCCTGTGTGTGTCCTGCCGCTGCCCCGAGGGTAAATGTGATGGCAGTTGTGGCTCCAGCCCCTGTGAGGGCCTTGGTTTGCAGACTGCAGGGGCGTGCACAGCTCGCTGCCCCCTCCACACCGCTGCAGGGAGCCGGTGACCAGTCAGCACCCCTCCTGTCTGGAAGGAGAGGAGATTGGCGGAAGGACTTTCTGCCTTCCTTTGACATGTCTTCCCTATAAGCAGCTAATATCTGGCAGTTTAGAAGGTTTCACCCTTTAAAAAGAGGGTCTAGATTCTTGGGGAAAGAAATGGGTGTCATTTCCTCTGGAGTCTAAGTCATGATGGGAACAGCCAGTTGGCTGAGCTCAGAACACCTGTCCTCTTCCAGACCACCCAGGATGATGGAGAACTCAGGGGTCTAGCTTTGATGGCTTCCACATTGGGAGGCAGAGCCCGCCTGTCAGGACTTCTACCGTGTTTGATTTCCCAGCAGGAAGAGGAAGTCAGTTGCAGGCCAGGCAGGCAAGTGGCCTTGGGTGCAACACAGCATAAGCAGCACATGGGGTTCATATTAGGGAGAAACTGTCTGGGGGCCCAGAGGAGAGATGTTAGAACAGCGACTACAGATTATTTTCCAAGCAGCATGATGTAGGGGCTCCTCCTGAAAATTTTGCTTTGTTACTCAGAATTTGACAGTTATACTGTAGGGCTAATATGCTCACTTTCAAAGTTCTTGAACATTACCCTGATTCTTTTTCTAGTTACCGTTTAAATAAAGGGTCTGGATCTTCCTTTACCTGTAAAGTATGGAACTTTGATTCGGAATACATGAGAATGGTATTGAGGCAAAAGAAAGAAGGTTGAGAACCTTTGGACTAGAGCAAAGATTGGCAAACTGTAAAGGGCCAAAGAGGAAATATCTAAGGCTCTGCGGGTCACATCACTTGTGTTGCAGCTACCCTGCTCCTGTAGCTTGAAAGCAGCTACAGGCTGTATGTAATTGAATTGGTGTACAGTGTTCCAGTAAATGCTTATTTACGTAAACAGGCAGTAGCCAAATTTGGACAAAAACAGGTGACCCGGGGACTGCATTTTGCTGACCCTTGGACTAAATTGCTAGAACCCAGTTCCAAGCTGATAGTCTGTAAAATGCTAATCCAAGCTCCAGGTTCCTGGAGAAGATGAGGAAGGAGTGAAAGTGCTAAATAAAAGAACTGGGTTAATTATAGGCACCTACTGACTCCCTTACTAACAGAGAATGTCTAGCCCAAGGTTTGGTCTCAGAAAGAGCGTCTCCAGGCCAGGGCACTGACCATTCTCATCCCGGTGGCTTCATCTTCCTTGCTCTTCAGGATGCGCTGTTCTTCCTTTAAAACTCTGGACCCATTTTGTCCTCTTGGTTACACACAGCATGACGTATGTAAAAAAAGATTTGTCTGTATGAAGAACAGAAGAGAAGTAACTGCAGAAAATGTAAGAATAGAAACAGGTGTACAGGGCTCTTAGTTTGTTTCTTAGGGTTTTGAGTTATGGATCTTTTCATGCCCATTTTACATTCCATGTTCCCAGGGAAAGAAAGTATGTCCTTGCTCCTGCTTCACCAGGTGTGGCCCTTCTTTTGCTCATGGTGCCTTTGTCCGAGCACAAGGTTGCCCACAGCTACAGCCATTCCCAACTCCTTTTGGGAATTCTTTTTGTTTTCCACTTCCATCTGCCGCTGTAGTGATATCACTGCATTACTTTCAGTGTTCCCGTTTCCTTGGTGTCAGGAGATGAGATTGTTTCTTTAGAAACTAGAGGCCTCCACTTCTTACCTTTTCAACCACAAACCCAGTTCTCTGCCTTTCAAGACCCTTACTCCCAGTAATTCCCACTGTGCTTCACCCCCGTTTGATCCCTTTTCCCCTTCAGTGCACACACCTACACATGATCACCTTGCTCCCATGTTAAGGAACACACACACACACACACACACACACACACACCCTTTCTCTGTCAGAAATAGTCCCCTTCAAGCAGCTATTTCATCTCTGTACATTCCTGGCCAGCTCTTCTTGAGAGAGCAGCCTGCACCTTTCTAAAGTAAATCGTTACTTGGTCCTGAGCACTCCCCTCCTCTGTTTTTCCCAGTCAAGACCTTAGGTTGGATTAGATACATTGTTCACATAGTTACATTGTATACATACAATTGTTTGTCTCTTCCTGTTAGACTGTAACCTACTCAAGGGCAGAGATTTTTGTTATCTTGTGTACCCCTGTATGCCAAGTGTTTAGAACAATGCCTGGTAGTCATTTGGTGTTCCAAGAAATACTTGTTGAAGAAATGAAGGCTATGGGTTTCATGACTTCAGTTCTAGTTATAGTTTTTGCTTAACTTGCTTCTTCCATATTTTAGGATTATTTTACAGCCAGTTTCCTTGGACATGTAATGGGTCACATTCACAGTTTGTCTTGTTGGGGCACACAATCAACTACAAAGAGTTGGATAACAACAATTTTTTCTGTTTTTGTTCATCTGTGAATGTCTATTTCACCTTAATTTTTGGTAGTTTCGCTGGGTATAGAATTGTTCTTTGAGCGCTTTGTACATGCACCATTGCTTCTGGTGAAAACCAGCTGTTAATCTTATTGCAGTTTCCTTGTAAGTGATGAGTCATTTTTCTCTTGCTGCTGCTGTTAAGATTTTTTTCCTTGTTTCTGAAACATTGTGACCATAATGTATGTGTTTGTTCTACCTGAGTTTGTTGAGCTTTTTGGGTGTATAGATTAATATTTCCCAGTAAATTGGGAAGTTTTCAGCTATTTCTTCAAATGTTTTTTTCCTGCTCTTTTTTCTTCTCTATTTACACCAACACATTATATTGGTGTGCTTAATGGTATCTCATATTTCTCTGAAGCTGTATTCAGTTTTATTTTTTTTCTTTCTGCTTTTTGGATTGGATAATCTCTATTGATCTATTTTCAAGTTTATAAATTCTTCTGCCAGTTAAAATATACTGTTGAGCCGCACTAGTGAATTTTTCATTTTAGTTATTTTTCAATTCCAGAATTTCTTTTTGTTTCTTTTTTCTAATTTGTTTATTCAGATTGTCTATTTGATGCCACATAGTCATCATGACTTCTTTTAGTTCTGTAATCTTGGTTTCTTTAGAATTTCTCTTTTTCTGTTAAGTCTGACATCTGGCCTTCTCACAGGTAGTTTGTGTTCCCTGCTTTTTGTTTTTTTGCTGGTTTATGGGTTATACTTTCGTTGTTGTTTGGTTGGTTGTTTGGCGAATGGCTAAGCCATTTAAGTGAAGTCTGTTCCTGTTCCCCACCCCGCTCTGGGCACTGTGAAAGCTTCTCATGTCACTCTCCAGGGGCCACAGCCTTGGCATTCCAACACCCACCCTGGGATGGTGGGGGCTCAGCAGGGCTCTTCCTGTCTCTCCACTACATATTGGACAATGCCCTGGGGCCTACTTTGCATTATAGGCTGATCCAATCAAATTCAAGCTCCTTTGATTTGGATGGTATTTGAGGTCAGTGTTTGAGATCTGCTCTAACCCAAGTGATGGCCCTTCCTACCTGTCATGTCAGGAACCCTCAAAAGAAACAAGTTGTTTTCAGCATTTGCGTATCTGGGAGTGTTTGTTATAACTTGGTAAAACTGACTCTTGGCTTCTCCCCCCCAGATGATGACTTTGATCAGTTTGATAAGCCTGGAGCGGAGCGGTCCTGGAGGAGAAGAGCTGCGGATGAGGACTGGGACAGGTATGGAGGGCCTGGGGGTGGGGCACGGCCGGGTCCATGCTGATGCGGCCCGTCCTGCGATGCACAGAAAACCACGTGTTGGCTACTCAGTGCTCTGTCCTGAGTGGACTGGAGGGTGTGGGCCGGCGCTGCAGGTGGAGGGCTTTCCACTGGGCTCCTGGTCCTGCCCGTGTGGCCCGCAGGGTTGCCAGCCCAGCACCGACTGTCTTATCTCCCTCTGTGTTTTGTATGTGTTGGTACTGACTTGGACGCCCCAAGCTATCACTGACAGGTGTAGCCAGAGCTCCTTTTGTTCCACACCCGACCCAGTATTTGGTAGACTTTCAAGTTTTGCCGTTTTAATATGTGTAAAGTGGTATCTCACTGTAATTTAAATTTGCATTTCTCTGATTACTGGAGAATGTGAAAATATCTTACATCTGGGATATCTAGGAGTGCACACACGCGCGCAAGCAAACACACGGAAGTCCCATAATGATAGATGTCAGTCAGCACGGTGACTCCCTCTGGTGAGAAGCCCTAGTGGAGGGCAGAGGATGTGTGCTGGCGGAAGGCCCAGGGACGACTGGTGGTGGGGGCTCTGGTGCTGATGATTCTTTCTCACACGTTTCTTACCATTTTAAATAGTGTGTTGAAAATGCAACAATTACCTGGGATTGCGGTCAGAAAGTTTGACGATAAAAGTAAACAGATCTGAGTGAAGAACAATGACACACTGCTGTAAAAAGAGAATTCCCGTTTGAAAACTAGCAAGTCCCAGAGTTTTACAGAGTGATCTGCATCTCACAGCCTTCACAAAATTGACTACTCTTCAATGACTCTAGACAGTGTATAAAAAATTTACTTAGAGCTTAGAACAAAGTTGCCTGTGAAAGAAATGAAATGGCCTTGTCAGGCAGTAGTGATAACTAGTTTTGTTTAAAAGACTTTGATGGGGAGCTGAATAAAGTAGAAAGTGTATTTTAGCAGTTTCCCATCATTTGGATTATCTCTCCTGTCAGTTGTCTGTTCATATTGATATCTGTTTTTTCTTTTGGGTTGTTTGTCTTTTCCTTGATTTTAGGCATTCTTTATACTTTCGGAAATTTATTTTTTGTGCTTGTGGATATTTCCTGCAAGTCTGGGGCATATGTTTCTTTAAACAATAATCTCTAAATAGATTTTTATAAATATAGTGAAATATAAAACCTTTCTTGTATGGTTTTTGTTTATTCTTTTTTATTAAAATATAAAAAATGTATTTGGAAATCATTTTTAGACTTAAAGGAGAGTTGTAAGAATAGCACAGAAACTCTGACGGGCCTTCTCTCAGAGCTGCTAGGAGTTTCTGCTTTAATGGTGAGAAAATCTGCTCACCGTCACTTCAGAACATAGCCATGCTGACAGACAATTGCAGATGACTGATGTGACTTCATGTTACACAGACAGCCCCCTTAGTTTTATGATCACGTGTACCGTATTTCCCCATGTATAAGACACTCCCATGAATAAGACATACCTTCATTTTGGGGCCCTAAATTTGAAAAAAAAAGTATTACATAAAGGTATTGAACTCAAGTTTTATTCATCATAAAATTCATACAACTTCTCATCACTGTCAAAACTCCCAACCATTAGCTTGTCCTCATCTGTGTCTGATGACGAATCACTGTTTTCATATATTGCCTCATCCTCAGCGGGACACGCAAGTAAAAAAAATCTACAACCACTGTATAAGACGCACCCAGTTTTTAGACCCCAAATTTTTCGAAAATGGGTGCGTCTTATACATGGGGAAATATGGTATGTTCTCATCAGCATTGCTTCTTGTGATTTGTACTTTTCCAGTCTTTGCAGTTTGATGAGTGTCAGATGGTCTCGTGCTGGTTTTGGTTTTTAATTTTCCTGGTTGATGATGTTGGACATCTTTTCCTATTTTGTCATAGAGTTTTAAAGGTAGAGCAAGTGCAGGTATTACTTACTATAGCTTATTGTTTTATTGATTACTGACCAGATCCAAAAAGATAAGGTCCCATACTGAGGTGAAACTCCAAGAGTAGAAGTCTGGCGAGAGCAAAGACTTCTTCCTGTGGCAAAGCCTCTCTTACTGAAGGGCCAATGTTCCCTGTATTTTTAAAGATCACTTTTCATTATTAATAAAGATAAAGGAAAGTATAGCAACGTATCGTGAAAGCACCTAAGCCCTAAAGTCCTGGGTGGACTTCCCAGTGATCTACAAACTTGGCCGCGTAATAGGCTTAATACATTGGCACGTCTTTTTTTCTCCCCAGTGAACTTGAAGATGACTTATTGGGAGAAGATTTGCTCTCTGGTAAAAAGGTAAGAAATACAGATCTTCCTGGAACTAAACAATGGTCACTTAATTACACTTAAAGTATAGGAATACATCTTACTCATGGAATGCATTACTGGAAAGTTGGGTATAGATGAACATTTTGTGGACCGAATTATTTTTTAAATGCACAAAGAGCCGACACTGACTCTATTAGTAAATTCTCTATTAAGCAGTCTGTTTTGTTTTCATACAGATCCAACCTCCCGTTTTCAAGTAAACTAATCACATGGTCTGTTTTTTATGTTGTTCAAATGTCAGTGATTTGGTGTCCCCTTGGGACTAATAATTACTGTTTTAAAAATTTGATATATTTTTGGCTATGTCAAAAATACTATAATGAGGCTTATACAGGCAAGTTTGAGAAACCTATTTTTATAAGCTGGGAAATATATACTGGGAAAAGGCTGCTTCAACTTTAATTAGAAAATAAAGTCTCCCCCCCCATCTTTAATTTTTTCCCTAATGTGTATGTTGGGGGGTCAGGGCTTTGAGGGGTTTTTGGAGGAGAGTAGTAATTTATATATACTGTAGAAATAATTTTAATAGGGAAGGAAAGTGTGAAGTCCCCCCCCCACCCTCCGTATCTAAGATACTGGTACATATTTAACTTAAAGCCTAGAACTATAGAAATTTAACCAGCTGACAAAACCACCAGGCTGTCTCCATTTACTGATATGATGAATGCACAGGTCGACCAGGAACCTGAACTAGTCCTATTTATTTTCATGTCATCTGTATTGGACAAACCAGTTTTATTTGAGTCTCTTATTTCAATTTGGTGGTCCAGTTTTTAAAATCTGCTTATTTCTAAAATTCCGCTTTTTTCCCCTTTTTGTTTAAAAGTCCTTAGATTTTGGATACTAACCGTGTTAAATTTAGTAAAATCTTAAGGATACTATTCTTTTTTGTATGATAAAAAAAACAGTTTTTGTTTGTGGGACATCATGGAAAGACTCTTCCGTTTTTCCTGTTGGTTGGAAGGCGAGTAAATTCCATCATCGTTAGGCTCGCTGCTTCTGTACGTACTGGGTTGTGCATCAGAACATTCATCTCTGGTAGTTAGCTAGTGTGCCACATGTGGGCTTTCTCACTTGTCACTGGTCACATCATCTGAGAAAACTTCTCAATGGCAAATGTTTTAATAACGAGGTTAGGAACAATCCAGGCAGTGTGATTTTGCACTTATGTAACAAGTCTTTTTATGCAAGTTCCATGCATTAACTTGATTTATTATTTTAATTAGAACCAGTCGGATTTGTCAGATGAAGAGCTAAATGATGATCTTTTACAGAGTGATAACGAAGATGAAGAAAATTTCAGGTACCCAATATAAGCTCATTAAAAATGTTCTTTAGTCAACTGAAGTGATAGGAACTGTTTGTGATTTATAATTATAGTGGATATAATTGATAATGAGGTATTATCTTTAACATTAATGATTATGTTATAAATGGGATATTAACATAATTGATACAGAAGCCATATATATTTTTCTATAAATAGATCAAATGTTTAAAATCAGTGTTGGTTTTGAATTTAATGGCCTCCATCAGTTCTGTTGAGTGTAGGTTATAAGAAAGTTTAGTACAGGTATGTACTGCTTTTTAAAATAATTCCTTTGTTTGAATGGGGTCAATGACCTTGGATTCGTAATACCATTTGTTGCAATTTGATGTTGCTTTTGTTTTCGTTCTAGATAGTTTTTGTTTATACTTAATCTGAATTGCCTTTTTGAGAATTCCTTTGTATTGTATTTTAGACCCTAGATGACTATCTGAATATAATTGTTTTAGTTCATTTGTGTTGCTATAACAAAATACCATAAACTGGGTGGCTTATAAACAACAGAAATTTATTTCTCACAGTTCTGGAGGCTGGAAAGTCCAAGGTAATTGCACCAGCAAGGTCGGGTTCTAGTGAGGACCCGCCTTCTGGTTCATAGATGGTGCCTTCTCGCTGTGTCCTCATGTGGTGGAAGGGGTGAGGGGCTCTCTTGGGCCCCTTTTATAAGGTCACTTCATCTCATCACAGGGGCTCCACCATCATGACCCAAGCACCTCCCAAAGCCTTTGCCTCCAGCCACCATCACATTGGGCGTCAGATTCAACACATGAATTTGGGGGACACACATGAACATTCAGTCTGCAGCAATAATGCATATCTTTCTGTTGTTAACGTCGTTAGCTCTGTTGTAGGGAGAGGAAGGAGGTATTGCATACTCTGGTGGGTGGGATAATTTTTTCAGTTTTATGAGGAAACATGAAAATATAAAGACATTTCTTGGTTATAAATATAATTAACAAATGTATGCCGTTTATTATTGACCTATAGATTTATCATAATCGGTTTTCTAACATAAAAGAATTTTTATGGGTAAAAAGACAGTTTTAAATTAATTTGTCACTTGCTTCCCAGTTCCATTCTTTGACATTATTATTATATTTTGATCTTGTAGTTAAGTTGCCCTTGAAATATATCTTTGGAATCTTTTTAGCCACATAACATCTTCCATGTCTGTGTAGCATATTCAGATTTTTGTTAGAATCGGATATTAATATGTGGGACTTAGATTTATTTGCAAAATCTTGCATTTTAAGTCTTACCTTGAATTTTATTGTTGGTGTTTAGCTTTTGTGATTTTATAGGTGGAATATGATTTTTTTCTGTTTTAAAATCCTGTTTTATTTTACTCAGAAATTATGAACTAATTTTTTGACATTTTTGACTAGTATACATTTTATTTATTTCCACATTGAAATATATTTACATACAGATTTTTAATATTTTTATCTTAAAATAGGAGTTTGTAATTTGTACCGTACATTTTCAAAAAGAAAATAAATTGTTCTTAAAATTTCATCTATGATATTTCTGTTTATAGAGTAATACTCTATTTTTACTTTCAAGCCTTAGAAAATAGATGCCATCCTTTTTATACTGGTAGTTAGAAAGAAATACAGTCCATTTGTTTTCAGTCCTGAACTTACGCTGGTCAGACCTATTTCCCCACTGGTTGATGTGATTCTCTGGGTCATATAACCTGCAGCTGATGATAGTGGGGTGCGGTGTGATCAGGAGGGTGTGATGCTGGCTCAGTACAGCACGCTGAGCTCTGCTGTTGTGCTAGGAGTCTGATGCTGGCTCAGGACAGCACTGAGCTCTCTTTTCAGTCATTGTTGGAGTTAGTGTATTTATGAGACCTGGAATAACTTTTCACCCATCAAGGGTTAAGTCTTTGTAACAGGTAATTTATGTAATGACTTAGTTTTGAGCTCTAATTGGGCACCTTTCTCTGTATTTTTGTCCTGTAGTTCTCAGGGAGTCACAGTTAGTCTGAATGCCACATCTGGCATGGTCACATCATTCGAACTGTCTGACAACACTAATGACCAGTCTGGAGAACAGGAGTCCGAGTATGAACAAGGAGAGGATGAGCTCGCCTATCACAAATCTGACGGGTCTGAACTGTATGCTCACGAGTATCCTGAGGAAGGGCAGTACGAGGGCCATGGTGCTGAGCTGCCCGAGGACCACATCGAGTACGTGGAGGAGCCGGAGGAGGAGCAGCTGTACAGCGACGAGGTGCTGGACATCGAAATCAACGAGCCTTTAGATGAATTCACAGTGAGTCTCCCTCCTCTGTGCGCCAAAGATAACATGGCTGCCGGGGCATAGGTTTCCAGACTGATTTGAAATCTATTTACCTCCCTCGGGAGGGAGGGAAATTAGACCTTATTATCACTGTCTGCCAGTTTCTTTATCTGAGCTATGACAAAGTTTGTGTTGACAGCTTGTTTGGCCGGAGGTAATGCTCCTTTGTCATTCTGGAAGGCTGCACAGAATCGTGACCTTGAGGATTGCACCCTAAGGAAGAAACCAGCTTTGTGTGCTGGAGATGCACTGTCAATTGTTAGCAGTACTTAATGCAGAGCTTTTATCCAGGCTTTAGACAAGATCTGATAAAGTCCTTCTAAGGTGAAAAGATTATTGACCTGCTAAAGACATCTTTAAGGGGCCAGTATTCCAAAGTGATTGATGCCCTGTTCATTCACCCTTTCTGTAACGGAGAACTGTCCAAACATGAATAAAGAGATGAGAGGTTAGTTTAGGAAATGTCACACATAATTTGTTATCTGTAATCAGGAAGCCAAGATGGTGCTGATTTTTATTTCAGAAAGATGATTTGGCGGTGGCTTTTTTTTTGTAAGTTGAATCATCAAGAAAGGAAAAGGTGCTAGTGAAAGGTTGCTCATCTGTCTTTAATGATTCATCATGAAAAGAGATTCGCTTTTAAAACAAGCACTGAATGACATCGTGCAGGAAGGACGGGAGCTACATAGTAGCTGGAGAAGCTTAGGGTTTTTGGGGCACGGTTGTACTGGGGGCAGTGTAAGCTGGGCGGCTGGGATGGGAGGAGGTGTGCGGTTACTGGCTGCACAGAGCCCCTGTGTGGGGGTCGCTCTGCCCTCTCCTTATGTTCTCATTTCGAGTCAGCTTGCATTCGAGAAAAAAGTTCAAAAATTGCTGAATTTTGGCCAGTGATATGTGTATATGTGAGTAATTTTAAAGGGGATCATTTGTTTACGTGGAATCTTAGAATATGTAGTTCCAATCATGATTGTGTTTAGCTATCTCAATAGTTATTTTTAAGATTTGATTCTTTTGAATGCCTTCTGCTCCGTAGATGTAGTTTTGGTAAACGGAGTCACGTAAAAGGCATCATGGGTGCTTGTTCTTTTGATGACGGTGATGGTGTGTCTCGGAACCCTTCAGTGGCGCAAACACCTGTGCTCTGATTGGCCGGGGTCTTTGTCTGCTGCCTTAAAGTGGACACTAATTTAGAATGCTGCTTAAAAGTCGCTGGTTTGATTCCCGGTCTGAGCTGAGTTGCCGCTGAGCTGCCAACAGGTGGCAGGATGGCTCAGCTTAAAAAAAAAGTTAAGCAAGGACCTTTTAAAATTGTGCCTCCTTATTCCCTAGTTGTAGCGTTTTATTATTTCTACTACTCATCAGTAAAATAAGATGATGGACTAAGTGTATCTGGTCCTCTCCCTTGTGAATTCAGTAGTTCAGCAAATCTTTACAATGTCCCAGCCCTGGGGACACAAATATTGCTGAAACCTGAAACACGAAGCATGGCCCTGCCTTCTGTGGACTTAGAATTTACTGGAACAGATCGCAGTTGGAAAGTACTTGATACGTGAGCATGTAAGGCCACACGGGAGGTGTCTCACTGGGGCGGTCTTGCAGTTTGCTATAAAGAGATTTCTAGTGAGTGAGGAATTTTCCTTCTCTTGTATTCCTTTGTGAAACTTGGGGTTACATTTAGGTTCCTGGTTGTATAAAATCCAACTTAACTATCCAGTCTCTTGTGGTTTAAGATTCAGGTATCAAAAAGAAAAAGAAAATGTTGCAATTCAGTATACTCACAGTATTTTTCCACATTAAAATGAATTAATTTTTTCAGAATTAAAAAGAATTACTTAGAAATTCTGAAAGTGTCCTAATAATTTCACAGAGTTATAAACTTTAAAGATGAGGCGGCATAGTTCAGTGCCTTCCTGTGAGCATCGTCAGCTCACCTTAGCACATGCAGCTTCATAGCCATGGTCATTCTTTCTTTCTTCCCTGTGTCTCTAAGATCATTGGTTTCTTTATCATTATCACAAAGGTAGAATCTAGCACTACCTCTTCTGTGGATGGAAGGCAAGAGGACTCCAATGGTGAGGTGGTTTTGCCTGGCCCTGCCGGGAGGCCTGCACTGTCTCAGGCTGTCGCTGGTGTGCACACTCATCCATTATCCACGGTTAGACTGGTGCACGCACAGTAGGTCGTGGTTTATGAAATGGTTTTTTAGCTGTGGTTGCGTGGCCTAGTCAGGAGCATTCACGTTGCTCTAAAGCTGGAATCGAGCTGACCGGGAGCAGGTTCGTGCCGCCGAGCTCACCCTTGAAATCCCTTGGAGGGATCGTGTGTGTGACGGGGGGCGAAGGAGCACCACAGAATTTTACTGTTGGAAGGAACGCTTTCACATGTGAAGAGCCTGAGGTCCACTGTGAACAAGTGGTGAAATAGCTCTGGTGTTCTCAGAAATAAGAAGACTTTTAAGTGGGGATTTTGCTGGTCTTGTTCTTGAGAGTGAATCAGGATTTGATTTAAAAACTTGTACTCTTGTATTAGGAAGGAATGCATATTGCTTATCATTGAACAGAATATTAGAAAATTCACGGCTTATTTAGGGCCTTTAAAATTAATGTAGTGAGATTTCATGAAACACTGTTCTGTAAACACAGCTTCAGGTTGATAATTTATGTAAAGGTAGCAGCTTTTTGTTTCCCAAGGAGAATCCGAGTGTATATTGGCTGAAATTTTTGATTAGCATCGTCTGCCCTTCCTTGTTCTGCTGTCAGTGACTCATGGAGGTGATAGTTGTTTTGTCTGATCAGAGGCTAACAACTTCTTCTGGAAGGTAAAGTACAGTGTCTTCAGATCAACCTGAGGCACAGCTGTGGGACTAAGGGGTTTGTCACCTTAACTACAGCGGCTTTTCCTTGGGGCTTGTAGGCGGCTGTTGCTCCGCGGTAGTTGATGAGGTTCCCTTGCGTGTTCACCCTGTGTAGCCTGCCTTGTGACCCACCATCCACTGCTCATTGTATCGCACGGCCAGGACGCTGGGAGTTCAGCTGCCCTGGGTGGGCTCCGGTCTCACTACTGGTTAGGTGTGTTGTAGGGGTCCTTCTTTCTCTCAGTGTTGTCTGCAGCCACCTAGCTAGCTTGCTTGCTCGCTCGCTCGCTCGTTCCCTCCCTCCCTCCCTCCCTCCCTTCCTTCCTTCCTTCCTGGTGCCATCAAGGGTCTCCTGCTGCTGACATGCCTCTGACACATTTCATGAACCCGGAACCATCCCTCTTACTCAAGGCGAGGGCTGAGGGACAGTGATTGTCACATTGGGGTTTGCAGTGACACTCCAGTGTTGAGTTGAGTGGTCTGTACCTTTGTTTTCTGGTGCCGAAGGAAGGGTTCACATTGGGCACGGCTCCAGCCCCCAGTTACTGCTAAGCTGCTTTCTGGAAGCACGTGCACACTTCCTTTTTAAGATTGCTTTTCCTTGGTGTGGATGTTATGAGCTGTTTCTCAGGCACCTGGAGTTTGGGCAGAGCCTGTCACTAGCCTTAGCAACTGGCTTAGCACACGGTGCCCTGTTCTCATTAGCACAGTGGGGAGGTCGCCTGCCCTTCTTGTGCTCGGTGCTTTCTGCTGCCAGGTAACTGCCATGAAAAGATTTGCTACAATAATTCAGCATGAGTCAAGAAGACAAAAAGTGCTTAAAAACCCCCAAAAGCTATAGGAGAAAAACGTCTTTTCTCTTTAGCAGCCATTAGGATGAAGGATTCTTGCAGCCTTCTGATGACTGTGCTGCTGCAGATGAATTAGATGGAATTACTGGGTCCCAGGTTGCTCCTGAAACAAGAGCATTCGTTCATCTTTTAGAGTCCAGAAGTTTGCTGGGTTGTTTTTCTTCCAGATTTAAAATGAGCATTTTTTTCTTTAGCATTAGTGAAAAATTGATACATCTCTTCTTGGAACTATGAGTGTAGTACAAACCTAAGCTTTTTGAATCTTTGGGCTGTCACAAATTGAGTTCTGGTGAGCTGTGATTTACAGAGAGCTGTTTGCCCTTTACATGTTAGAATATTTTCAATGTTTTTATGGGGGTGCAGGTAGAAATCTTTTGAGATGTGATATGTTAGTGCTTTGAAAGGAATGCTGTCATTATTTAAAATCAGTTAGTGTTAATTTTGACCATTACTCAAAAATGCTGCCAGGCGTTAGGTATTTTGGTGCGGTCTTGGGTGTTGGAGAAACAAGGAGTGTTGAGAAGCTTGGCTCCTGCTCAGGGAACGTGTAGCCTAATAGAGGGGACAGCAGGCACGTGTACAGATGCTTGGGATGGAAACACAGAAGGACAGAACTCCCAGGAGAGGCTCCAATACACGCTTCAGGGGCACGCGGGGAGGTCCTGTGTAGTTTCATGTCCTTTTATGTTAGTTTGTGGTATTCTGAAGTTGGAAAACTAATTTCATGGATTTTATAATTCAAGTCATTGAATTATAATTCAGTTTTTCATATAGTTCTTTCAGTATTTTAGGCAATAGTCTTCTTACTGGAAGTGACAGGGTATGACTTATAGATCGCGATATTTCAGACTCCAATTCCTGAACTGTAGTCATTAAAATATTAAAGCAAAAGTGGGTTATTATAAAAAAAAAAGTGCTTATTATGCCTTCCATTTGCATTGTCTTCTGAAGAGAGAGGTTGACGGGGGTGTGGGGGGGGTGTGGGGGGTGTGGAGAGAGAGAGATCTTTGGAGGAGCATAAATGGTCAGACCCAGCCTTAAAGTAAATGAACTCATAATATGCGCGAGTTAATAAGGCAGAATATCTCAGACATACTTAGAAAGGATTAATCATTTGGGAAAAAGTTGGATCTCTCCTTTACACCTATATGGACCTCAGATTGAATAAGGATTTCAATGTAAAAAAAACAACAAAAAAAACCACGTGTGCACATACACACACCAAACTGTAAATGTATTAGAAGAAAACATTTTAATAATGATGTGTTAACGTTAGGCTTACCTGTAAAACTGAAAACTCGCCGAACATCAGAAGTTTCTCACTAATGTCAAAAAATTCCGGAGGACATTTCAGACCTGGTTTGGCCTCCAGGTGATCAGGTGGCCAGGCTCCTTCCAGACTCCGGGTACAGTCCCAGGGCTGCTGCCCTCACTGTGGTCCACACCCAGGCAGGAAGGCAGAGGGCCCACGCCTGCCCTTTGAAGACACCCTGAGGAGTCCTCATCCACCACCCTGTGACCATCGTGTGGATCGCGCCTTAGTCTCGTGGTCACACCGCTCAGCACGGGAAACGGGTGATACTGGGCTCTACTAGGTGTCAGTGTGTTCGCCTGAAACGGGGGGTTTATCATGAGGGACGTGATGGAGACTGAGCAGACTGAGCACCAAGCTGTGTCCTGCTCTGGGTGTCAGACTTTTTTAAGCCACGAGGAAAGGGGCGTCTGATCATATGTAAATACCCTGAAACACTATAAACAAGGTCAGATAAGTGACAGACAGACACGGGGAAATATTTACATATGAGCCTCAGAATGAATATATTCAGTATATAAAGTTAGCATATTCAGTATATAGTCTGTTCAGTAAATACAGACGAGCACTCCTATAGAAAGGGTAAATAATGTTAGAAAGTAACCCAAAATAAGCAAATGACCAGTAAGTATATAAAATATATTCAATAAAATAAAATTGAAATTGAGAATTTTAACCTATCTTAATATTGGCAGAAATCAAAATTATTGGTCAGGTGTGGTCTCCTTCTGTTGGGCCATCCTGGATCTAGTGACGGCAGGAGACAAGTCCCGTGGGTCTGTCGTGCCTGCGCGTTGCGTGAGTAAAGAGCTGCCTGCCCTTTGTTCTGGCCGTCTTTGCAGGGATGTCTGAGACGCAGACAGCCTTGGAAGACACAGTACCTTCCTCCAGTGCAAGGGGAAGCCCTGCTTTCTGCTCCTTATCCGACTTGTGTTCCCTAAACTCAGGGTCCCTGTGTAACTCCGCCCCCTGCTTGCAGGGTCACCCAGACGTCCTCTTCACATGGCTCGTGGGCCAGCTCCTTGAGCCCCCAAATGCCACTGCTGCTATTGAAAGTAGTAAAGTGTGCTAGCCTCTGACCGGGGCCTCGTGTCATGAAACTGGCACACCTTCCTGGCCCTCAGAAGGAGAAACACGCAGACCCGGCACCGTTCTGGAGCCTCAGAAGCTGTGCTTAACGTCCTTGCTTCACTACACGCTGACGGAGTTACCCCGGAGTTCACCTGCACTGTGCCCAGAGCTGTGCTTTTGGTGTTGGTCGGTAACTTCTCCAGACGGCTAGCCTCCTGGGGCTGGGGACAAGGCACGTCTCTGTGGGTCCTGGAAAGCGGCTCGTGATGTGGGACATGTAAAGAGCCAGGCAACAGAATTCCTCCTGAAGTTCCCCCAAAGCGTTGCGTATCTAGATGTGTGTGTGATGCTCAAAGAACCGTCTGGATGAATAAAGAAAAAAACGGTTATAGTGATGACCTCTAGATGGTGGGGTTATTTTATGCTTTATACATTACATATTTTAAAATATTTTTGCTATGAGCAAAATAATTTTTATCAACAGGGAAGTACAGGGTGGTGAAAATTTCGACTCTTTGATCTGGAAGGTGCAGAGCTAGGCTGCATTTGTGTAGCTCCTGTGACTTCTAGTAGCTATAACTCTCACATGAAACGTCCTAGGGGTTGTTTCCAATATAAATCTGTTTATAGAGCAGAAAACAAACTAATCCAGATGAAATAGTTTATCTTTTTTACACTACCTGTTAGGAGGTGAATTCTTTGATTTTTTTTCTTTTAAGCTGTATTTCCCCTAATTTAATTTTAAATTTAGTACAGTAATACCTTGGTTTGCAAGCATAATTCGTTCCAGAAACAAACTACTCGTATTGCAAGACATCGCTCGTTTACCACGTTAAAATGTATTAGAAATGTTTGCTCGTCTTGCTGAACACTCGCAAACCATGTTACTCGCAATCCAAGGTTTTACTGTATTTAAAAATATTTTTAAAAAGTCACTCATACATTTACTTTTACCTTGTTTTTGTTGCTTCTTTTTGTGGTGCCTGCAAATTCTTTGTAATGCTCTCCGTTCTCAGAACCTGTGTTAACCGTCCTTGGAGACAGGAGGAGTGCTGGCTTGTTCCTCCTCACAGTGAGGTCACTGAACGCGAGCCAGGCAGAAAGACCGTTGCTGAGAACTTGTGTGCACGGTGCTATTTAGGAGCCGAGCAGGAGGTGTGCGTGCCACGTCAGTGCCTTCTGGCAGGGCTGCCCTCTGGGAGGCTGGCCCTCCTCCTTTTTTAGAACTCTAAATAAAGTGCCTAGTCCTCAGGGAGGAGTAACAGTTTTAATTTGCCACAGGTACCTGTGTTTTGGTGTCTTCCTCCTTTCTGACCCATTTTTGCAAACGCCTGCAGGGTGTTGAGGAAGCCACAACACTGGCTCCATCTTGCCTCCCAGTGGCCTGGCTCTGGGTTGCTTAAAACAGAGCTGGAAAGCATCCTGCCATTTTTTTGGATGACTTCATTCCCAGGGTCTGTGTTTAAGTACATATGAGTGTCTGAATTATGGAACTCAAAAGTAATTTCGCTTTGAAAAGCCTATTTTAGGTGGCTCCTTTTAGTTAACGAATGTCCTTGCTTGGTTAATACAAAGAACTCACTATACTCAAAACAAATTAGAAAGATCTAATTATAAAGACTGAGTACCCAGCCTTTCCAATTCTGCGGCCACATCAGTGCGGTTGTGCCGTTGTCTTCAAAAATGGCTTAAAAGGCTTGCTCTTTTAGACAGTTTGGGCACACACACGGGAAGGGATGAGAGAAGTTTTAATAATCTTTGCACTATTTAAATCTTTACTTTTTAAATTGTGATAATGTTTACGTTCAGAGATGGGCACAGAACTGAAGTGTTCATTGTTTTGTCACAGGGATCCCTCTGCGGTAGTTCCTTCCGTTAGTAGGAAGCAGTTCCGTTACCCCAGAAAGGTCCCACGTGTTTCTTTCTCGGCGGTCCTGACTCCTCAGAGGCACTGCTTATTCCTGTCCCCTTTCTTAGTCCATCTGTTGTAGAACTTCACGTAAATGGGACCATACGGTGCGTAATGAGATGGTGTGGTGTCTGCTTCTAGCGGCTTCTGCTCAGCACACGTGCTTTTGAGACTCACTGCGTATGCCAATAGTTCATTCCATTTTGTGGATGTACCTTATTTGTTAACTCTTCTGATAATAGATATTCGGGTTGTTTCCAGTTTTTCTGTTATTATGAATAAAGTAACCCTAAAAATTATTTTACACATCTTTTTGTGGCTGTATTGTTTCCCTTGGTACTAACTAGGAGTGGAATTATTGAGACGGGGTAGAAGTATGTTTAATTCTTAAACTGCCAAATGATAGAAGGTAGAGCTGGTTTTGGTGTGAAGAAGCAACTGCTGAAAACAGTCATTTGCTGTTTTAGTAGTCTGAGCCTGAGATAGTGATGAGCCAGCTCTACACAGTGGCATGGAGTGCAAAGTGAGAAGAGGGATGGAGGGAAGGTTTGGAGGCTGAAAACAAGCCAGGCCTCCAGCAGGTGGGCTGTGAAACTTGCCTGGCAGTAAAAGTCAAAGTGGCTGGGTCAGGACTTACAGGAAACCTCCAGCCTGTAACAGGAAGGAGCACACTGTCACCTAAAGTAAGTGACAAGGCAGGCTGTATGCTAATGAACTCATGGAACTCTGGAGCTAGTTTCATTAACATATCAAACTTGGCTAGAGTCTGGATGGACTCCAGGCCAGCAGGGGGTTTTGGAATTCTCACATTTGTTCTCAGAAGTGTAAGTGACAGCAGTACATAGGACTTTGTATAGGGACATGCAGGGTTTGAACGTTTTCTAGCGTTAACTTTTTAATGTCTGAGATGATTTTCTCCTGGAATCAGTTTAGTGTTTCACATGGCCTGATAATAGGACATTTTGCAGTACTTTTACATCTTAGATTAAGAACGTATATAAAATTTTCTTCAATATTTAATTCAAGCGAATATGAACTCACTTTTCCTCCTTTTGTTTTGTGTGGCTGCAATGTAGGGAAGTATGGAAACTTTGGAACTGCAGAAGGAAATAAAAGAAGAATCAGATGAAGAAGATGATGATGATGAAGAATCTGGACGATTACGTTTCAAAACGGAAAGAAAAGAAGGAACAATTATTAGGCTCTCAGATGTAACTAGAGAGAGAAGGAACATTCCAGAAACTTTGGGTAACTTTTTGCCTGTCTTCCATTCTTCACTCCCATTTCAGTTTCCTCCATAGTACTGTTATGATTACGCACATAGGTAACACGGCTGACTTTAGAGACTATTACACATGCCACGCAGAGGTGGATAGTCTGTCAGGCTAGAGCTGAGTTAAATTTTGTAAAGTCATTCTATAAAAATGACTGTCTTCTGGATTCAAAATGTTTGAATAAAATATCTGTGTATTTTTTAAATAGTTTTTCTTTTGGCGTCTGTGGCCTAGTCCTCTCAGTGTACCCTGTAGCTTCCGGTCGGCTCCAGGAAGGTGGGATGGGGATGGTGCGGGGCCACCTCACCCTTCCCGAGCCCCACAAGGTTGCCAGGGCTAATTCTGGACCAGACGATTTTTGTGTGTCTTTCAGCATCATTATAACGATCTTTGTGTTTTCTTCTATATGTCCTGCATCTCAGCGTTAATGAGACAGGGTGACTTGTTTATAGACATAATCAATTGAATGTCATTCTGAGTAAATCCTGCTCCTAAAGGTTGTTGCTGCTCAACAGAGAGCCCTTTTCAGTGTTGGCCCCTCCTCCCTGGCTGCAGAGAATAAAGCAGGTTCTCAAATAGGAGTGAGCAGCAGAGGCACCCAGCAGGCTTGTTAACACAGATTCCTGGACCCGCTCCCAGCTCTTCTGAGTCAGAGGGTGAGGGAGGAGCCTGAGAGGTGCTTTCTGATGACTTCCCAGGTGATGCTGCGGGTGGGAGGGCAGGAGGATGGGGGGTTGTCCCTGCTCTCCCGTCCTGGTTAAGTAACAAGCAAGAAACTTGGTTACTAGCTGTTACTTCTTAAGACCATCATTTGTAGCTATTTTCAGTTGGGAACCTGAGCATGTATCTTTAAGTGGCAGATAGGAATCCTATTGTACAATTCTACAGCAAGACACTAAGCCCTCAAGATGTGTAAGTGAACAGTAGCGAGCTAGTCCTATCCTGTTACTTTGCTAAGGGAGCTTCATGGAGCGAGTCGTAAAATCTCACAGTTCTCCACTTTGGCCTCCTCCAGTTTCTTCCTCCTCTGCCTCTTGGCCTAGGAATTCCCTAGACTTTACTCAAGCTATGGTGTAAAGTTACACATTGGTCTGATCCAGGACAGTGTAAGTTTCTAAGAAAGAGGATTTGAAGTTGCGCTTTGGTGAAAGACGCAGCAAAGGTCTTAAAACAGGAGGATGGGAGAAAACAGCATCCTTCAGCAGGAGGGCTGGTGACGCTATGGAGCAGGTTGCCTGCAGCACACAGACCAGGACAGATGGTAACCCTGGCCGAACACCATAGGGCAGTGGGCAGTGGCTTAGCGGGGAAGTGGCATAGGGCCTCACCACGTTTCTGCTGCTTTGTTAGCTGGGCATGGCTTTGTTACGTTAACTGGGAGCCTGATGTATGGAATCCTCATGGGAAAGCTGCAAGTTCTAAGGATGAGAAACCCCCTGACACTTGCCACTAAGGATGCGGGAAGACTTTCCCCTCGGTAGCCAGCTCCCTGTAGGCCATGGTGGATTTCGTGGGTCACTCTCCCCTGACCCTGAATGCTTCTGCCTCTCCCCACCCCCTGGTCTCAGCTGGGGTCGTCTTATCTCTGTCCACTGTACCTCGACCCGAGCACTGACAACAGTGAGATGTCCAGCTTCCTGTGTGCGTGATTTGTGTTTCATTCCCGCATCTCCTTCTTTTAGGATCTTTGCTTCATTTTATTCTTTTCCGGGTCACATGTACTGCCTTCATGAAAGAACCTGTGTAGCATTTGTTTTGAAGGCATCTGGCAGTTTTATAGCCATGTCATCCTGAGATGGGAGGCTGGAAGGGGCTAGTGGTTGGCCCCTTTAAATGTGGTGGTGTGGGGGTTAGGTCCTTAGACACAGAGTGGCTTAAGCATAAACAATTTGACCATTTACCATTGTTTACACATCAAAAAAAGGCCTTAAATGCATTTGTGCAGAATGTGATTATTTGGCTAGAGAACAGGGCAAATGAAAACGGGCTTAAAAGTATCTTCATCGGCTGTTTGGGAGCCCTAACCTAAGAAAGCTTCATGTTTGGAAACATGCACTTTCTCGCAACTGAAAAGTTAGGATTATTCCCAGTTCAAAAAGGGTTTTTCTGTCCATTTGAAGGTTGGTTTTCTAAAACAGTGAGTTTCCTTATTACCTTAATACTCACTCCCCTCCCCCTAACAAAAGGTTAGTTTTATATACAAGAAAAGTATTTATTGAGAAAGAGGGGCTACTGCAGTGTTTGGTGAGCTAGAAATTTGCATAATTTTTTACTTTTCAGTTTATTTGTGTGCTTATGGTGATAGAAATATTAGTTTCAGGCTCTGTATAGAAGTAACTTGCATTTATTTGCTTGTATAATATGCTTTGTAAGGGGTTCAAAATATATTGCTAGCTAGATCATTTCTTATGTATTTTTGACAAATGTCTTTTAACATTTTGCATGCAAATAAAAACAATTATTTGGAGAAATCATTGATTAATGTTGAGAACACTCCACTCTTTAAAAAGAAGAATGAAATAATAAATAATGCTCAGGTGCCCCTGTTTCTGGGCCTTTACTCCGCAAGTGGGATGGCACGTCCTCTTCAGGATCTAGAAGGGCATTTGGGCCACTTTTCTCTTTCTCACATTCAAGTATGTGATGTCATCCTTAAATAAAGAATATTAATTCACATATATGACAGTCTTGACAGTTACGGAGTGTAATACAAAGTTTGTATTTTGAATTCAGATTGGATTAGAAGTAGAATTTTGGGCTTTCATCTAGGTGAAGATCTTAAGTAGTGAGCTATTTCCTCAACCAGGATTGTGGGAGTTAAACCTTACAGAAAATGTGTCTATTTCTCAGTTTTCCCAAATATGGCACAAAACTCCACACTTAGGAGAGAAATTTGTCCATTCCACATCAAGGATGCTGTAGGGCGCGAGGGCTCTTCTCACGGAACGCACTTGAGAAGGGTTTCTGGAACACACAGGTGTAAGGGAATGATTGATGGAGAGTGGAGGTGTCCAAGCCATCTCTAAGAAGTGGGTGCCACTGACCAGTCTCCCTAAAGCAGGCCCAGAAGCTCAGAGCTGCCAGTTCTCTTGCCTGCGGCAGACCTCAGTGGTCTGGGAAAGCGGTGCGAGCAGCAGGTGGGACGCGTTTATTTCTGTAGGCTTGTTTTCATTACCTGTGCGTAGGCGTCTAGATTTTGCGATCCTGTTTCATTGGCACATGCATCATGTTAAATTGTTTTATGGCTTTAGCCTAAGAAATATTGCTGTGATATGGCCACTTAATCCTCTCTTTAAATAATACCCTTAGTTAATTTTGTTTAAGGCATAGATAGGATCTGTGGGGAAAATATTTTCATCCAGTCATAAGCAGTTGAAGGTCGCTGGTGCCGGCAGTAAGTAGACCCTGCCTAAGTCTGCACAGTGGTCCTCATACTTAAAGCTTTTGCAGATTTCTTGATTCAGTTATCTTGTAAAAAAAAGAAAACCCAGACTATCGTTTGTTGTTTTTATTTTGCTGAATAAACTGTGTATTCTATAAGTAGTTATTATGTATTAGTACAACTATTGTAAAATTATTTGTATGTAAATCTGTTGTTCTTAGGCACAGCTTAGAAAGGGGCAATACAGTGTAAACTTTGTTACATTGAGCTATATCTACTTCAAAATCTGGACATAGTTCAGAAAACACTTAAAGGGAAATTAACATTTCAGTTGAAGTTACAAATGTAATTTCCATCCTGTCATATTTTGGTGACCTCTTGTGACAGCTTGTCTCAATTGGAGGGAAGCATTTTTACTTGCTGATTAAAGATGTCATTTGAAACCATTTTATTACTGGGGATAGTGAAATTAATCTTGACACTTAGAGCCACTAGAAAAATAATTGCTGATTCACCACGTAAAATGTGTATGTGAACCAATCATGTAGTCAAGATTAGAATAAAAGTCTGTGCTTGTTAAGAAGAGATTAAATTTTCTTTCAAATGGGGTCTAGATTCATTTGAAGGGGAGGGGAATACCATAGAAACAATTTAAAGGGAATGAAATGTGGCTTAGAGATTTTGGAAGAGTTTGGAGATGATTATGGAATCCATAAAACTGGTAATATTTAAAATATCCCCTTCACTGTGGAAGAAGGTGTAGGCATCTGAATTCAATGAAATCTCTAGAATGTATACATCTATTTATGTAAGATACGTTATCACAATAGATACTATTTTTAAATAAAGGAACCATATTTGAATGCCAGCTACTTTTCGTTTAGGAATTTAGAATAGCGTGTCAACTGAAGTGTCTTAGGGCCAGCGTCCATGTTTTCTGTGTCCCTAAAGCACTGGTCAGACAGGTGAGCACCTACTGGGTGCGCCACAAATGTTTGCATTAATGAGTTTCTTCTTAGGTGACTTTGCGCTCATTTGCTATTCAGTCTTCCATGTCAGACTGCATACATATAAGTCTTCACAGAGTGAAGTGTTGCTTTTTTAATATAAATCTGAAAATTTGGAATGATACTAGTATTTTAGAGTTTCCTATTCTTGATGAAATTAACTTTGACTTCAGAGTGATTTCATTAATATTTTTGTTTTAAAATCAGAAGAGTCAGGAATTTGTTTTATATATTTTTTTGAGTGTCTGTGCCTCTGTGCATTAATCATCTGTTTGAGAAGATGGTTCTGGCTTAGGACTGGTGGGGCTGGTCCAGAGCCATGTCATCTGCTGTCGCTGAAAGAGAAGGTGACTGCAACGGCCTAGCAGCTCAGCCCCTTCTTTTTAGCTTCTCTCAACACATTTTAGTGGTCTCAAACCAAAGTACTGTAAAGTTCATTTATACAGGTGACACTTGTACTTTGCCCCAAGGGGAAAGCAGCCTTGACTTAACAGGCCTCCCCAGTGAGTGTCCTGCCTTTTGCTCGTTTGTGGTGGGTGAGGCTGTTCCGGAGTTTCACTGTCACGTATTTCTTCCCTGTTTTTGCCCTCTTAAGTCTTGTTCGGGCTTTTCGAATGTATCTAACACGTCTGTGTCTTTTCACATAGAGCTGTCAGCAGAGGCCAAAGCTGCGTTGCTTGAGTTTGAAGAAAGAGAACGACAGCACAGACAGGGGCGCTATGGCTCCCGGCGGGGCGGCCGGAGAGGAGGCTCCTTCATGTGCCGCGGAATGGGGGAGCCGAGGAGAGAGAGCAGTGACAGGGGTCGGACGAAAGACCACAGACCCGCGCTGCTCCCCACACAGCCTCCTGTTGCGGTAATGTTCACAGCTCTTTGGGGAGACTCGAGGACACACAGAATAAGCTTTTGCATTTATCGCTGAGTCTGAAATTAAAGTTTAGTAATAGGAATAATGGCTACAGTTTCTTTATAGTCTGTAATACGATTTCATCTGTGGCCTTATAAATTCTATTCTCTGGTATCTGGGTAGTAAAAAATCATTCTGTACACAACTGCTTGTGAAGAAAATAGTACTAAGAGACCAGCTTCCACAGACAGGAACCACAGACCAGCCTTGCTTTCACCTTCTGCTTGTGGAGAGGTGCTTCTCCCAGGCGCACCCCGCTTAAAATATGGAAGTTATTACATACAGAATCTAGGCAATAATTGTTTATTTTACAAAAATGTTTTTTCCTCTATACTGTTTACCATAGGTTTCCCCTTAAATATAGCAGTTTCTCTTAGAATAACTGTTACATTCTATCTATAAAAACATGAGTTGTCTTATCCTTTCCATAAAATTTTTTCATATTTTAGGGATAAATCATGTAATTTCAACCTAATTTTAATTTCCCTATGTTTGAAAGATGAGACATCTCAAAAGCAAAGACAGGAATTGGAATGATTTTTTTGTCTGTATTGTTAGCATCAGGATTTTATGCTTTTTCCTTCAGAAGTCAACCTTCAAGGACAAATTTATTTAACAGAAATATGTGTCCACTGTGTATGCCGCAGCAGGTCCCTCCTACCTTTTTATCCGAATTTCGGGCAGACCACGTTGCCTCTGTGTAGATAAGTTATATCTGAGGAGGCATTCGTTTGTGAAATAGGAAAAGTGGAAAAGAGGCCTTCCTCTCTCAGTGAGAGGCCCAGCTGTGCTGTGAGGCTGGGCACAGGTGGGTGGTTGATGATGGTGTCCCCGGGCATCCCCGCCAGGTGTGCCCGTCCGCCTCCGGTACTCCCTGCCTGGTACATCTCTTCCTGCTTTCCTCGCCAGGTCAGGTGCCACCTCTCAGCAGCCTTCTCCCTCCCTAGGGGAGTTTGCAGCAGGCCAGGCTGTCAGCCACGGGGCAGGGCAGCTGGGTCCTGTCCTCAGCGCCGTGCTCAGCTCCCTGGCCGTTTCATGGGCCCAACTGAGGTGGTTTCTTTTGGAATCCATGTGCTGTGTTTGGGGCCTGACACCCGTGAGGTGGGCGGGAGCCTTGGGGACCAGACGGAGGGAGCAGCCAGCTCCCCCTGCTGCCTTGTACAGGTCGTTACTGACAGTTTCGCCCCGCGCATCTCCCTGTCAGCAGTGCCACCTTGCTCCGAATGTTGATGGCTGTGCATTTGTCTTTTGCGGTTTTAGACGCACTCGCCGAGGTTGATTCCTCCCCCGCAGTCTCAGCCTCCCCCACCGCCGCCGCCGCAGCAGCAGCCAATCAGGAGCCTCTTCCAGCAGCAGCCCCTGCAGCCTCTGCTGCCCCTGCAGCCCACACACCATCCCTCCCCTCCTCAGGGGGTGCACATGCCGCCCCAGATGGACGCCCCGAGGGTGCTGATGACCCCTCCTCCCGGCGCCCCCCAGCAGCCTAAGAACATACACATCAACCCCCACTTCAAAGGGGCGGTGGTGACACCCGTTCAAGGTACTGTCTCCTTTGCTGTTTTAAAGTCCTAAGCACGGTCCCCACATGGTGCCCATGGTCAAGTCTGTGCGGGTGGCCTGGCTTCCTTCTGCCTCCCCCACCCATGCACACACGTACTGACCTGGTGGGCAGGCCCTCTGCTTAAAGACGGTATCTTGTTTTCTGGTTGCGTGGAAAGGGCTGGACTTAGCGGGGATGCCTGCAGTGTGAGCTGTGCTAAGTGCCTGGTGGGCATGTGGCCCTTGGGAGCCCGCGGGGGGGTGGGGTGGGGTGGGGACGGCGGTGAAAGCAGCCCCTCCACAGCGGCCTCCCCCCATGCAGCTGCAGCCAGGCACACTGCTGGACAGGCTTTCTGATGTCAGCATCTGTCCTTGTGTATTTCCTTGTAAAACGGCAGCTGGTAAGATGCACAGATATCTGTAGCCTGGTAAAAAAACAGCAGTGTTAGAACACAGAGGGGAAGCTCTGAGGAAGCCCCGGTGCCCTCCAGGTGCGGAAATAGTGCGTCTCGCAGCCCCCGGGGGAGAACGCAGGCCTGGCACCCGCAGCTCAGCAGCTGTCAGGAAACACGCTGGGTGGGGTGGCCTTCTGCAGCAGCCCCTCTGCTCCAGGACCAGTGAGATGGCTTCCGCCAGGAGCCGGGGCCGTGGTACCTGCCGCCCTTCAGCTGATGCAGAGACAGCGCCCATTGTCCCTGCTGGGCCTACACACCAGCCCTCTGAAGCCGTAGTTTATTCAGTAGTAAGTGGCAGGCTTAAGTAGGGAGCACAGGCAGCTTCAGGGAGCTGAGTGCCCAGCTGTCTCCTGTGCTGCACATCAGAGGGGTGACCCCGCGGTGCTCCGGCCGTGGGCAGGGAAAAGGCCCGTGAAAAAACTCTCTTGGTAAAGTTGACGGATTCCCATCTTCTCCTGGTGGCGTCATGAAGAGTGTTCCATCGTATGATAGTTAACCAGAGTTGTTGGAAATTTAACTTATTTTTCAGATTTTTCACTAGTACGACAATTGCAACGAATTGAAAACTTAATCGAGTCCATTTATTAACTACATGGGACAACAGAAGATCTAAATAGTAAAGATGAGATATGCAGAGTGAGGTCACATTTTCAGTTCTCTTCTAGTCACAGTGAGAGGGAGGCAGGTGGGGAGGAGAGGGGTGCAAGTGTCCTGCGGCCTGCAGACCCGTGGGACCCCCTGCCCGGGCGCTCCCTCTGGGCTCCCTCTGATCAGTCCTCACGCCTGTTCTCACATGATCCCCTGGCAACTTTTGGTCTTTTTCTCTCTTTTCTCTTATTGCTTTTTATAGTTGATTTTTAAAAAGTGCCAACAGTCAAGGCTTCTGTGTGAGAAATCTCTTAATTATTAATGGGAATCCTTTGTGGAGATCCCTCCTAGATTGCTTGCTTCCCTCCCCCCAATTCAAGAGAGTTTTATCATTGTCATCTTTCATTACATTGGGATTATTTGACAGGAATTGATGTTTAAACTCCCATGTTTAAAAATCAACGGTATGTATTGGTGAACACCTGGGTATTTTATATTTGGTGCCTAGTTTTAAAAACTGTCTTTACATTGTTCATGTAGCTTCTGTTTTCCTCACTTTCATGATAATCTTTTGAGGGTCAGAGATACTCCAGTTTTTTCTTCCTCACTTCACAGTCCAGTATTTTGCTTCTGGTATATAATCAACGTACCCCAGTGGCTATTAGCTCACTGTAGAGACTTAGGGGCTGGATCCTATTTTGTATAAAGCCTTGCAAATTGACCCACTTTCATTTTGAAATTCTGACTCATTGGGCTAGACTCTCAAGAGAAGCATGGACTTCTGCCTTTAAAAAAATGTTATCAGAGTAACTTTCTTGGAGTCACACCTTGCTTTTGACCAAGCAGCCGCACAGGGCCATGCACGCTGCCATTTAAGCTGGACCTGTGGACATGTGATGTAGTTACAGGGCTTAGTGGACAGACCTCCCTGAGTAATCATAGATAAAAAGTAGTTTATCTCAGCACTCTAGCTTTCAAGTAATTTTGATTGACTTTCAAGCTGCATCATTTCTGTATTTTTCATTTACGAGAAATTTCTTAAATTAAAACTATGCTGTGTTCTTAGTAGTATTATACCTAATTATTATTACATCTCTAAGGTAATTATCAGTCTCGCTCTGTCCTCACTTGGTCCTTCCCAGTGCATGTCTGTGTCTTCATCTCTCCGTCCAAGGACACCCGTCCGTCGTATGGGTCAGGGCCCACTCTCAAAGCCTGAAGCAGCTCTTCAAAGGCCCTCCCTTTAAATACAGAAATACAGTCGCATTCTGCGTTGCTGGAGTTAGGACTTCATTGTGTGAATTTGGGAAAGGGACCCAGGTCAGCCCATAACACCTGATCCTGAGAGCTTACTAGATGTGCCCGGCCCACATTTCAGTGAAAGATACGGCATGCCACCTTTTGGCAGTCACCCCGCAGGTGGTGGTGGTTTTTGTTTCTCTAAAATCAAGAGCAGGATATCACATAAATTTCAGTAGCTTAAACGTGACTGATTTAGCCCCAGGATGTCACACTAAGGTCTGGCTTCTTCCCTGTTATAAAATGTATGTTTTAAAATTATTTGATTCCTCGTTCTTCTGGTAGATGGATGGGAATTCTGCTCGTTTTAAAACAAAACAAAATGAAAACAAACAGTGCCTTGGCGTAGTAGCCTGTTCTTCGTAACGACACCACAGACTTGTGTGTTTCCCTTTCTCTGCCCGTTCCACTTTCCCCTTCCCTCCGTCTTGCTCTCTGGTGATTCTAGAGGTTTTAGGTTTAAATTTGTATTTGATTAGAGTGGGAAAATATAAGTAGGATTTGATAGCCTGGATAACCTGGATGTGGATGTGAAAAACACAGTGGGTTTTTTATTTTGGGGGAATAATATCTTCTTTTGTTGCAAAATACTTTAGTTCTAAAGAGGCATTCACTGTTGAAACTTACGCTTCTGCTTGTGCTATTGGGTGATGAAGACAAAAGTTCTGCTCTGCCATCTCCCTTTACGGAATTGTAAATATTAAGCACTTGAGTGTCAAGTTAATACAGTTTATGGACTGTGCACATTGTATGCATTTTGTATTACACTTAGTACATTATGTTCCTTCTCGGGTGGCTGTGAGTGTGCAGTCAGACGTGTGTGTAACGAGCGGTGTTTTCCTGCAGTGCCCTTGCTGCCTGTCCCGAGCCAGCCGAGACCCGCCGTGGGACCCCAGAGATTCCCCGTGAGTAGCAGCTGCTCCTTCTGCTTCGAGAGGGATGAGCACACATTTACTGAGAACTATTAATGCAGCAAATACACGTGGGTCCGGCTGAATATAAGTTTAAGGATTTGTAAATATTGGCCATCATTTTTGCAGTGGAAAATGTTTGTTAAAAGCTTAAGGTCAATGGATTTCTGAGAATGGAATTAATTTCGTTTAACTGTAAAATTGTTGAATCAGGATCATCAGTGGAATGCCCTTCATTTTAAAGAATATGAATTTTGATTTTTTTGTTGCCTTATGTTAAGTAAGGAAGGGCCTTGCTTTATTACAGTATGTGGGTGGGTGGGCACGCGTGTTTGTGTACGTGTGGGTATGTATGAAATTCTAGGGAATAATGATGAGATCTCTGCTTGTTTTTTTTTTTTAAACCCTCAAAAGTCTTAATGAACCATCGGTTTTATCTATTAAAATGGTTTTCTCTTTAAAACGTCTTTAAAAGAAAACACACATTCTTCCCCCCGCCCCCCGACACTTTCCATAACTTTGTTCAATCTTGACATGTCTTAACTAGAAGACAAATGTCCCTTAAATAGTTGTATTTGTTTACGTAAATTTTATTTGAATTTTTGGTTTGATTTGTAGTTTTTATGGTTTTATTAAATCAGCAAGGACATGTTCTTTTTAAAAACAATGTTGACAAAAAATGGACCAGACGATAACATTTTAATATCATTTGTATGTAAAAAAAATGTAGTTTGGTTTAGGTCAAACAATTTGATTTCAGAAATACCTAGACCTATTTGATTGCAACTTGGGTACTTCAGTAGGTGTCTTATTATATACGGCGTTTAGCAAAGAGGTTTTAATGAAGGCTCTAGATTATGGTCAGACGATTATTCAAAAATAAAGTCAGCGTTGGATTTAAGGTTCAGAGTTTTTAAAGAAACTTCCTTGATTTGTAGTCGTTTATGAATTATGATATGGTTCCTAACACTGATTCTTACTGGTTTCATTCCCTTACATTAGCTATTTTTTTCCTTTAAATTACTTACCAAGTTTTAAAAGCTAGTTAATTTTTAAACATTAGGTGATGCTTATTGAGTACAGTTTCCTATTTGAAGCATTTGTCTAAATAGCTAAGATGTATTAATTGCATTACCCCAGGATAAGCTGGTATGTCTTTCGTCATTAGATATATTTCTTCTGGTGAGGTAGTTTAACTGCTAGTTATTCTAAAACACTAACATTTTGAGTACTTTAAAAAGTGAACATCTGGGTTAAAATATTTTTTGGACTTTTTTTCATGTTTTATAGAGATAAAATTTAATGTGAAAATGATTATAGTTTAGGAAAAACATAAAGCAATGCTGTATGTAAACACATTGTAAAAATGTGTTTACTAATGTAAAATTAGAATAATCATTTGCGATTTTCATCAACTTACATTTTCAATTGGGCAAATATAACTGTACCTGATATTAGAGGTAACAGACCTCATACTTGAGTATATTACAAGAGGATAATAAAAGAAAATACTTTGTGAGAAATTGTACTTATTTGTAAGTGACGCGGTCGGGTGAGGATGGTACATGTCGTTGAACTGTTGTTGGCAAAGTTTGTGCAGCACGTAATGTTTGTCTTGTTATTGTTTTTGAGCTCAGGAGTGTGCTTGGACAATAGGAAATAGTTGGGCTAGAAATTAGTCATGTGGATGATATAATTTGAGAAATGTTTTCTTCAGCTTATTTAGTACTGTTTAACGTGTATTTTTTTTAAGTCCCAAATGCTAGGTCTTGAGCAGAAGTTTCAATGAACTTGGGTTCTTGAAAATGCAGTGCTCTACTTATTTCTGTAATCAGTCTCCCTTGGAGAAAATAATCAGATGTGGAATCTATTTTTAAAAAATACAATAGAGGTATTGTGTTTTTTAAAAGTTCATCAAAATGTTTTTGGGAAGGAAGATTAATTCTAGGTCATCTCCTGTTTGACTTAGGCCAGACTTTTTTGAGTAAAACTGTTTTTTCCCTTTTCTAGTACTGACTTAAACTTGGTTGCTGTTAGTGTAAACAGTTTTGTGAGCATTTAGTGAGTTTCTCCTTCGTGCCAAGTGCTCTCATAGTCTAGTCCCTAAGCCATAAAATGGACCAGGTGGAGTTACATGAAGCCCAGCTTCTGTCCTTAACCAGTTTTCAACTGAGTAAAATTATAAAAATAGTGAAGGTGGTATTGTTGTGGCTTAACGAAGGCCCTTGGAGATTTTTTACTGATGGCAGCGTGCCCTATGGGCTCTGTCCTGGCACTTTCTAATGGGGTGGGGAGGGGTGGTCAGGCAGTATTCACTAAACTGAGTCTTGCTTTTTAAAACGAGTGTGCGTGTATACACACGTTAGGAAGCCTAACTTCAGACTCATCAGCGGGTATGTGTGAATCTCACCTTCTTTGCACACAAAAAGATGTGAATTACAGAAATGTATTGGACAAGTCCACTGGGACGCTGCCTTTCCCTGGCCTGCGCCCATGTGAGCGCCCGGGGATCCTCAGAGAGCTGATGTTCTGCGGGCAGCGTCATACTGCCTGCCTGTTTTCTGTGAGCACCTGGCTCATGTCTGCAGGTAAACTAGCGTCCCACCATCCTGGGCCCAGGGGAGCTGCCTGGCCTTGGGCTTCGTGCACAGATAAATAGTGGTTGAGTGATTGTACTCGGGAATTGAATACTGGGTTATCCGGCTGCTTACGGGGAGCTACATAAAATGAGTAGAGAAGGGTACATGTGAATTTTTGACTTTTTGTTGTTTTCAAGGATAGGGGTGTAAAAATTTGCACAGTAGGATTACATCCTGCACGTTTAACTACAGGGATTCAGTGCTCGTCAACTGATGGAAGAGTAGAAAGGGCAGACAGTAGACCAAGCACACCCGATTCCCAGGTTTTAGAATACAGTTGGCATTAATGCTGAGGTATTCCTTCTCCCAGCGGGGTCAGGCTTGACCTTCTTAAAAGTCCATTTTGTTTGACAACTTTATGAAACTTGAGAAATTCTAACTTAGAACTAGTATGCCTAGAAATGGTGCTAAATGACAGTGCCTTCAGTTCTTTAATTAAAAATCATAGGGAACTCTAGACAACCTAATATGAGACAGAGTTTTCATAGAATTGTTTAAAATTATTTTTAAAAATTCAGATCTTGGGACAAAAGATGGTATATTCGGCTATGCTGGATGTAGCAAAATGAGTATTTTTATTTCCTGTTAATGAATTTTATTTAGAGAATTGAATAAACTGTTTTTAAAACAAAGATTTAAATGTCAAACATAAGAAAAGGGTCCTTATTTTTGATCGATCGTTTTGGAAAAAACTGCTTGAGCTCTTGGCACTGAGCCGGCACTGCTTTGGCTGCTGGTGGTGGTGTGTCCGGCTGGGATCCCCCCTCCCTCACTCTGGAATCAGGGAAGTGCTTTGTAATTATGTTGCTGTTCAAAAATCAGAGTCCTGTATTTAATTTTAATTAGGGGCAAAGCCGTTAGTGCTAAACTCAAAAATGTCTCTTCATGCTCAACTTTTATTCCCAGGACTACTTTGTTTTTGTTTTTTTAAATCAGAATTATGAATCTTTTTTTTGGAAATACAAATATATCTCAGTTGATTGCATATTAGAATGACTCTTTTTCATGCTCCTTTTCATGTCAGAATGTTAATCTGCCGAATGGAAATTTATCTCATTTCTGTGTGAATACCTAACAAGAGCTGATTGGCACAGGCAGTGAGCATATTCCTTAGGACTTCAAAGTGCTGTGTGAGGGGCTGTCCCTCCCTCCACTTAGCGCCTTCTCTTCTATGCAGTCTTGCCATCAGCCACCCACCAAGCCCAGGTCCACTTTTCCTTGGTGTTCAGGACCTTTGAATGGAATTTCACAGAATAGTTTCTTTTTGTTTTGTTTTGTTCTTGTAGCGGGTAGGGGTGGGGAGGCCAGTTTGCCTTTCTGCAAATCAGCTTGTATCTCTGTGTCTGTTTGAATTTTGTTTTCAATTCCAAATGTTTTTCCTTTTGTACGTTAATTAGTCCAATAGGGTTCTCTTTCCCCAAGGGCTCTCCCTGCTGTTTTGGTCCTTAATATAAAGCTTTTTTCTTCTCTGTAAGTATATTTCCCAGTTACATATTTGTCCTCAAAGAGATGTGTATTTTTTAAAAGTTTACACACTTAAAGTAACACCAAGATGCTGATTAATAATATTTTAAATGTTGCTTTGAGATTTCATTAACCTTGTTTGTTTTCGGTGTCAGTGCAGCTGCTATTTCATAGCGGAGGAGTAACTCCCAATCGCTCGCATTATAAAGATTCTTGACCTAGGGTGTTTAAACCCTAGTCAGTCATTGATTTTGCTTTGGTGTGTTGCATAAATGCTGGTATTTCAAGGGTAGCCAGTTAAATACTAAGTAGTGTGGCTGCTGAATAATTTCTTAGTGGTCCTTGTTCTTGTTTAAATTAAAATTAAAAATCATGTTCAGAAAGACTACACTTTTAAGTTTAAATTAGTCTTCTTGGCGTTTCCATTATTACTTAGGTAGAGATTTGCATTTGCATCCCTGTGCGAGCTCGGGGCCTCACAGGTAGGTCTGACTGCACCGTTTCCATTGAAGGGGTGCTTGGGCCCAGGTGGTGGTGATTGACAGCTCCTGGATGTGTTTTACACGGCGTTTCATGCAAATCATGTTTGATGAGACTGCTGCATCAAATTACATTGCTTTCTGATTACAGCCCTCGCAGATGTGAATCCACTCTATTCTGTCTAGGAAGAAAGTCCGCCTTTTGAATCCTCCTGTTTCTACCTTCCTGCAATGCCTTGTAATTACTAGCACTTAGAGCTGAGAAGGAGTGACGGGCATTGCTCTTATCAGATCTGTGAGGAGGCGCAGGCAAATGTGGGATGAGATTCTTCCAGCCGTCAAACATTGTCAGGCTTGCAAGGAGTGAGTGCAGTTTAAAATGCAGGTGACATAATACCCAACATCCTCCTTT